GGTGACTTATGACTGAAAGGGATCCTTGAGTTTTTCAACAGCCACCCGGGTCTTCACAGGCTGTTTGGGTCTGCCGACGCCCTAGGAAGGGCTCCTAATTCCCCCCGGCTCTCGTTCGCTCTCATCTGCTGCCAGTACTGTGGGAACATCCCTGCTAAATTAGCCTCTGTCTCTTGGATGTTCAGCTTTCTCTCTCTGGTCCCCATCTCCCTATGGTTCACACCACTCAGGTTTCTCTTGTTGGAAAATCCTGAGCCTCACACGCTTCCCTCAGCTCCCAGCCTTCTCTTCTCAGCCCTTCACGTGGGATTCGAGAGGCGGCTGCCCCCTCTGCTGCTCCGGCCCCCTTTCTCAGCCCCTCCCCTCTAGCCTGCCCTGCAACGGTGACCTCCTCCCCATGCCCCACATGCCCCACATGCCCCACAACGAGTTTCGAGCCTCATCTTACCTGCACTCAACACGGTGGACCCCTCCCCTCCCTTCACTTTCCTGTCCTGCCCACTGCTGCTTCCTCCTACCACGGTCTGCCCTGCTCACTCCCCCTCTGCTTCCCAACCGTTAGAAAGGGAGCTCTTAGAGGCCTGGGCCAAGGCCACCTTCTCCCTCCAGGCGCCTGCTCTATGCAGCTCCAGAGCCAACTGCACTCACTCCTAGATGTGTGCTCATCTCCCACAGCAGCGACTCACGACCCACCCTGGTCCCCACTGTTCCCTGGAGTCCCCAAACCGGACTATGTTCAACTGTCTGTTTGCCTGTCTGTTCGGTGGGGAAGCCAGAAGCTAGGTGGATTCCTCCCTCCCAACAGCCATCTGTTCCCTCAGCATCCCCCCAGCCCCTCCTCCATACCGTCCCTGCGTGACGGTGTGCACTCACCTGGTCCCCTACTTCTCTGCTTCTCTACAGCCCCATTCTCCCTGCGGCCCGAGCCATCCCGTAAGATTACGTCTAATGACATCACACGCAGCCCCACCTGCTGGGAACTCTGGAGGCCACCGCTCTAAGGATAAAACCCAATGTCCTTACCTTGGCACACGAGGCCCCACGAGGCATTCTGGCCTCATCCACCTCCTGGCCTAGCAGTCCCCAGTCAGCCCTTTGTCCTTTGCACCAGCCAGACAGTATTCTGTTCCTGCAGCTCAGCAGGTAACCGCTGGTCTCCCCTCAGCTCACCCACCCCCCGCCAGGGACCCTTCCACACCCGCACCTGAGGCCTGCAGACATGTCCTTTGCAGCACTCCTTGCGGTTAATCTTTTTAAAAAAGATTTTATTTTGGGGAGGGACCAAGCAGACTCCTCGATGAGTGTGGAGTCCGATGTTGGGGCTCAATCCCAGAACCCTGAGGCCATAACGTGAACCAAAATCAAGAGTTGGACGCTTAAACAACTGAGCCACCCAGGCGTCCCGGTTGTAATTTTAATCATACGCTCCACCTGGGGGCGTGGGGCAAGAGGAGAGTAAGTTTTATGAGACCACTGACCCCATCCTTTTTTTTTTTTTTAAAGATTTTATTTATTTATTCATGAGAGATAGAGAGAGAGAGAGAGGCAGAGGCAGAGGGAGAAGCAGGCTCCCCTTGGAGTGGGGAGCCCGATGCGGGACTCGATCCCAGGACCCTGGGATCATGACCTGAGCTGAAGGCAGACGCTTAACCGACTGAGCCACCCAGGTGTCCCTGACCCCATCCTTTTTGCTAATCATTATATTCCTAGCACCTGGTCACAGAACTTTCCACTCAATATCAGAGTGGTAAACATTCAACAAATAGAAGCTTTGATTACAATCTCCAAGCGGAACCAGGCAGACAGCAAACTCTCGACCGACCCCAGAGGACCTTCTTGATTCAAACTCCATCCACTCTCATCTTCTCATTGCCCAGATGTCTTGTTTGACTTGATGGGCATCACATGGGCCCATTCTGGAAAGAAAACCCAAGTGTAGGAGGATGCCTGGATCGTACGGTGGGGTTTAGTGCTTTTGCTCCATCAGCTGAGTTTTTCACTCAGCTGGTCTAGTCACTGGGTCAGGCGGGCAGTGTTTCTCGGGAGCACCCAGGGGTCAGCCGAGCAACCTGGAAGCCAAGCCACTTGAAGGAACACACAGGAGCTGAACTCCCATGAGAAAAAGAGAGGAAAGGCCTCCAAGAAGCCAAACTGTTCTAGGCAAAGACAGACGACCACCAAGGTTTGGTTCTTGAATATGTATTTTTTACTGAAAAAATCATTCATAAATTAACATACAAAAATGTACAAACACATGAGTAAATAATGTAATGACAAAGGACTATTTTTGTGAAAAGTGTTTTTAAAACATCTTTAGATTTCAGTGCAAAAATGTACCCCTGGCACCTCTTACAACATAAGAGCAAGCTCAAAAAAACATCGTGATGGAAGGAAGCTAGCTACGTTCAATGCCATTGTCGACGGTGAGTGGACACAATCAGTACATGCAGCTGGTGCTCAGCTACTCGTGACTGTGGCAGAGGAGCTCCAACAAGAGCCCGTCGTGTCAAAAGGAGTGTTTTTGCAATAACTCCTCACCCAGAAAAACAGCGTGGAAGGGGAAATGTTTCCCTGCACGCAGCTGAGACAAGACTGATTGAAGGGGTCACCCATCAGGAGCCTTAAAAGAATTTCAGCTGCCAAAATACACACAGGGTCACATTTGGTTTTTATTATTATTTTTTAACATGAGAATCTCACACCATTAACAGCTCACGGGCCTGGCTGCATGTTTTCAACTTCTGTTTTTCCCACACGATACTCAACTTGGTGGGTAAGTAACTAAGCGGTACGCAGTAAGAGATTTCACACTAATAAGACAAACTCACACATGATCGCAAAATAATTTCAGTGACCTTACTTCAAGCAGTAAAAAGACACCTTTCCTTTTGTCCTCAAATCAGCATTTTCTTTTTCAAATCAGCTGTTTAGCCTTTTGCCAACGTTTTGTTCTTGGTGGCAAGTATGTTCGTGAAAAGCTTCGAACGAGACCATTTTACAACACTGCTGTGTATCATCCTTAACCAAGGATCGGTCTGTTCTGGCAAATTCTTCCAAATGACATCATAGCTGTGTCCCACTGAAAGCCGCTCACGGCCTTCAGGGATGGGAGAGGACAGGAGGAGGAGGAGGAGAGTCAAGGCCAGCACACAGGCCCGAGGGGAGGCAGGAGAAAAGGGGAAAGAAATCTTTATTGCTCTGTGCACCAGACTTCAAAGGAAAACCAAGTTAGCTCCTGTGTGTAATGTTCCCTCGTGAAAGTCTTTTAAAGCATGAGATGCTCAACATTCTTTTAAAACATATGATACAACTTACCAGCATTTTCAAGGGCAGCAGCCTGCTCTCTCATATGAGCCGATAAGAGCTTTGTAATGCAGTTGGTTTTCTACAATACCACTCTATTCTTCAAAAGAACAAAAGCATGAACAAAAAACAAGGCCTGGCCAATCACTCCCACAGCTTGTGGGGATCATACGTCCATGGAACCAACACATGCAACAGAGAAAACCCCAACCCACACGTATATACACAAATATACCCCCTACACACACATCCATGTAAACCATGAAAATTAAGGAAGTTGAAGGCAAACAAGGCAATTAAAAAAAATATGAAGTACTTTTCAGAAAGTACTCCTAATCACAATATATAAATATGTTTTATGGAAAAGGAGAGGAAAGGACTGGCCTTTTTCAGAATCCTGCAGAAGCCAAGAGGGACTACGAATTGAGGGATTTGGCTCAGGGGAAAACAGAGAGGCACAACTCCAAGGGCAATTTAGACTCTCCCTTCAAGAAGTGCATGGGGTATGAACCCAGCATTCTTTTGGGCTTGGGTCCTGGCATCCGAGAGCTCCGTCCATCTACCTGCAAAGCTCTGACTGGGTCCACCCCGGCCCCCAACTGACCCACAGCACTTAAGTGTCACCTGCTCTCTGGCTGGCTTCTTCAGTCCATCGCTCGTTAGTTCTATGAACTAGTTCATAATGTTGACAAAGAATCTTTCCAGAAACCAAAAAGGGAAATATTCAGAGGAATCACCGAAGCTAGTTGATAATTTAGGCACAGATTTCAGGAATTGTGGCCAAGTTCCACAAGAGCAAAAAAAAAAAACCGAAGAAAGGAAAAAAGAAGAGGCAGAAAACCCACCCACCCGACCCCACCACTCTCGGTGATGAAAGGACAAAAACTAAACTCCAGAGACCCAGGGGCATGTGCACAGGGAGGCCCCCCGAAGGGGTCCATTTTGAGCAAGGAGGGCTCCTGTTTAGCAGGAGACTGGGATGAGAGTGTACGTGCCCAACAGGGAAGAGAGAGTCCACAGCAAAAGTCAAGAGCAAGACTTCTGGAAGAAGATGGGAGGGGGCAGGAGTCAGCTACCAGTGACAGACTGGACTGTCCTGATCTGTTTGTGACATGCCCTATATCCACTCCCTTCCAAGGTGGTAGCAATTCAGGAGGTGATACCCTTCTCCACTGCATTTTAACTGAGTTCCTGCATTTGCCAACCAAATAAGCGATCTAATATATAAATCCTCAGTTTGAATTGGAGCCAGCTATAAAATTAAATTTAAAAAAGGCATTTTACATGGCTTATTTACAATTATACTTCTTCAAGAAGTGATTGTTACAGGTCTATTTATCTTCCCCAGTCCCTCCCCCCACCCTCAATCCCCACCCAAAGCAGGTAATTAAAAAAAAAAAACCAAAAAACTGAAACCAAAGAGAACACCAGTGATGGAGAAGAATGGTGTGTGGAGTTTCATTTGCTCTTCCTAAAAGAGCCCTGTGGTGGGGTGCCTCTTTGCTCTGAAGGCCAAGAAGCTCCAAAGGCCATTCGTAGGAACGGGCTCGAAGCCAGGACCCACAGCAGATGTCAGTTCCTGTTCTGGAGAGCCCGGCTGGGACGGGACGCTGGGGTTCGAGACCAGGGGAGAAAAGCAGCAGGACCGACGTCCGTCTTGTGAAAACAGAAAGCCAGTCCTGATGAAGGACGTTCCCAGCCACAGTGAAGGCATTTTGTGCGTGTACTCTGTTCACATTTTCTCCTCAAACCCTGTGATCCTTCATCAGACACCATATTTCTATTCTCTTCCTGTGTGGAGCCCCAAGACCTCTCCCCAGGTGGCTTTCTTGGTGGCGGTGGGTAAAGCAAACACAGCTTGTCTCCTCATCTCAGTACTCGGTCACCTGAGCCAGCTCAGGTGTCAAGTTGACAGTAATGTTTTTATACAAGGCGTCATATGTGATGTTTGCAAAGTAGTTCAAGTTGTTGAGGCCGTCCAGCCCTTGCCGTTCTTTGGACTTGCGCAGCAGAGCATACCTGTTTGAGCAGAGAGCAGAGGGGTGGCTCTGAGTGAGGGCCCGATCTCCTCAGGGCAGAGGACAGAGCAGGGCAGCCCACAGCAGGGGCCACAACCCAGAACAGCTCTCCTGCATCACATGGCGGAGGGATCGGCCCACCCCGCCCAGATGCTCCCTGCTGAAGGTTATTATTAGAAACATCTCCTACCTCATGCCAGGGCTTTACTTATGACATTTCACTGAATGCACCACTCCTTAAGCAAATGAGGAAACCAAGGCTCCCAGTGTTCCATGACTTGCCCAAGGTAAGGTCACGGAAGGGGGAAGTGGGAGGTAAGATATTAAAAAATACATGAGATGAGCCAGGGCGGGGTCTGCATTCAGTGCCTTCTTACTTCCCGGACAACAAAGTTCATGCAGTCAGACCTCGTGGTCCAGAGAGCAGTCCTCCTCCCAGTTAACAAGACAAAAGGTACTCCTGAAAACAGAGATGTCACTCCATCCACATGCCCCAATTAGTGCAGTACGGAACTTCCTTATTAAGTGCACCCGCACGAACAGAAGCTCGGGGGCACCCTTCCAGAACTGGAGCAGGCAGAAAGGGTGCCAACTCTGCTTTGTCCTGTCAGTGGAAGTTACACAGGGACCTTTGACCGAGTGGATCTCTCTCCAACTCCCTGAAGACTACAGAGGAGACCATGAAGCTTAAGAGGCCAAATGAGTGATTTCCTTCAAAGATCTACGATCAAAATTTTCATCAATAATCTGATTTCACACAAACGCCTGCCTCACGGGTAAATGAAAATCTATCTAGGAACTATAAAGCAGCCACAGCGGGACCGTGGAGAGAAGGAGGGGAATAAGCCGAGGGGTTGCAATATGATATGCTCTGGGACATCTGGAAATGCAAAGTATAAAGGATATTTGTAAGAAGAATAAATAAATTGTGCCCACCTTCCAAGAAATTGGACTTCTCCTCGATGGTGATGAGGAATAGATTTGTACTTCCCTGTGTCACCTTCTGGCCGGCTCACAGAGTAGCCTGCATTCTGTACTCTGTCCGAGACAAAGAGATTGGGCTTTCAGATAAAATGATCAAGTACCAAAGATGACCACAGATGGCCAAGGTTGAGAAACCCCAAGTTGAACACCAGAACTCCTTCTGTGTCTGAATATTCAATTGCCCATCCCTCTGGGTAAGTTCATGGCTTGAGAAAAGAGGTCTACAATACCAGGAAGTTTTGAAAAACAAAAGGAATTCAAAATTCTTGAGAGTAAGGTGTGACACAGGTTGTCAGTGACAGGTACAGCAGTGAGCATTCCCCAGGAGATGAGTGTGCACTCTCTCTCCGCTGGCTTGTTTGGGTCCTATCAAAAAGGCTTTTCTCACCAGTGCACAGCACCTTTCCTGTCCACAACCTACTATAAAAGCCAACCAGTAAAGTCAGAGTTGCACTGTGTTTTCCCTGCTTATTAACTTAATGATTCTGCCCACCTCCCCCATCACCAGGAAGATGAACTAATTTGTATGATGTCCTCTGATCTCGACGTAAAATTTCACATCACTAGGAGGAAAGCAGAACTTAAGGAGGTATTTGGTTATTTATCCTTAATGTGATAAAGACAGAATTTCACAAGCTGGATTTATTGGAAACTTGATAGGGGTGTAAGAAATAATTAATACATGGAGGTAGACTTTGGATATCTACGTGAAATCTATGGTTGTCTTCACATTTTAAAACTTCGGAGAATATTATTTCAACATTCTCCTCTCAACTCCAAATTACACTCTCCTTTTGATACTGCGAAATGTGTTCTCACTCTGATTTGATAAATATATAGAGAACGCCTACTGTGTGCCTGGGAACTGTGCAGGGCACTGGGGAGAAACAGCTCCTGTTCTTGCGCCCGGGGGCTCCTGCTGAGCTGGGGAGAGCTGGAGCTGAGAATTATGACAGATATCCTGGGAGAGCTCAACTGGATTCAAGGACCAGTCAAACCAGTTATGTTTATGGAAAAGCTGTTCATCCTCACTAGGTTCCTAAGAAACCCAAATTAAGAGGATGAGATGCCATTTTTACCTCTCAGATTGAGAAAGAATTGTCTGGAGCTCCTTTGTCCAGTACAGGCAGCCTCGAGCCACACATGGCTGCTGAAGGGCTGAAATGTAGCAAAACGCAAAAGGTTGTCTATAACCAATGTTGGCGGTGATGTGAGAAAGCGGGAATGCTGATGCACCGCTGCTTGGACTCTTTCTGCGATCTCTTTTGGGGAGAAATCCTGATGATAACTATGCAAATTTAAAAGAGCATTTACTTGACTTTGCAGTTCCACAACTAGGAATTTAATCTGAAGAGCTATTTGCACACGTGAACAAGGATATTCAAAATCGTAAACAATGTTCATTGACAGGAGAGGATTAAAATAAAATACTGTGTATCTCCATAAAGGAAAACCATGCAATTGCTAAAGATAATGAAGTGGCTCTCTCTGTATTAAAATGGTTGGGAGGGGAGAAGGGATGGGTCTGGGTTGTTTGTATATGAATGCAAAGAAGCAGAGAAAGAAACAGCCCTGTTAAAATACTACTTCCTGGGAACAAGACAGCACAGCAATGGGGATTAAGAATTATACCCTTTGGTTTATGCACCTTTATTATCTGAATTTTTACCAGCAAGTATTACTTCGTAATTAAAAAGCAACATGTAATTTTCTTTTTTTTTTTAAAGATTTTTTTTTAATTTATTTATTTGAGGCAGAGAGAATGAGAGACAGAGAGCATGAGAGGGAGGAGGG